CACTGCCCGGTCCTGCGCCATGCTCACAATCGTTGTTATGTTTGAGCCCATTGTTGGCAGCCACTGTGTCAATCCATCTCTTGAGGGTCTTCTTCTTTTTCACTGACCCTGTACTTTACCAAGCATGATGTCCTTCTCCAGGGACTGATCCCTCCTGACAACATGTCCAAAGTATGTAAGACGTAGTCTCGCCATCTTTCCTTCTAAGGAGCCTTCTGGTTGTACTTCAACCAGAGTTAATGGAAAGTCTAATTTGTAGCCCCACCAAAGGAATTTATTTGTTCCTGGCCACTTGCATCAGAGTCACTCTGGGTGCCTAATTAAAATGCAGATTCCTGGCCTCCACCTAGAACTTGACAAATAAGAATCTCTGGTGGTGGTATCTGGAAATCTGCACTTTTAACAGATCCCCCAGTGACTCTTATGCCCACAAGCTTGAGAGTCATTGGGTGTGGGGTGGACATAGAATATCTGATCTCCAGACAAATCAGCACCACCAACAAAAGTCTATCCCTGATCTCCTCTTCGCTCCCCTAGATAGAAGCCAGTCTGTCCTGGGAGAAATGACTTCCATTCTCTATTCCGTCTTACAATTACCCTGATATTCTTTATGTACATGTAAGGGGAGCACTAAAATGACCTGCCCATCATTTATCTGCCTACACAGATCATGCCATTGTACTAGTTTAGGGACAGTTCAAAAAAGTTAGTCAGTGCTGTTTCTTTCAGTAGAGTTATTCTCTTGTAGACATCGTTACTAAAAAATTAGACTGTGGAACTTATCAGGGACTCCTGCTACAATAAGAAAGCTTAGAGAATCAGGAGAGAGACATGAGGGCGCCAGGCCACTGGCCAGAATTCCACAGTAGAAACATAAATGACCTCAGTGCAGAGCAAAACCCTGGCCCAACACTGGGTCAGTGGTTTCATGTTTCCACTGAAGTATTGTTGCTAGTCGAAAAATCTCACAAGGTGTAAAGAAAAGGATTCATCAGGTAAGAAACACAGTTTCAAAATTCACATTGCATTATAGTCATTTCTAAAAATGACTGTGATACAATATTAGAACTAAGCCAGAAAAAGACTCAGCTAATTGTTTAGATTTTTTTTTCTTCACTTTTTAAAAGCCACCAACCTAAAATCTCATTGCCATCAAGTCGATCCTGACTCACAGCAACCCTATAGGACAGAGTAGAACTGCCCCATTGGGTTTCCAAGGAGCGTCTGGTGGATTCGAACTGCTGACCTTTTGGTTAGCAGCCCAGCTCTTTAAAAGCCACAGGTACTACAAAAATAGCTTATACCCATTGTAAATCCTCAGATTTCAACACATAGAGTCAGTATTGTGATCATTATTACGATTAAATAGTAAGATTTCAGTGTCTCAAGGCTATCTTCATTTAGCCCTTAAAACAAAACTAGAAATTTAAAAAATTTCCAAAAAAGAGTTTGCTTTGAGTAAACCTTTATTGCACATCATTGAATTTGTTTCTGTTTTAACAAACAGTACAGAGAACAAAGATTCATACTGTGGAAATCCCTGCAACTTCCAATCCGTGGCCTGCAAGCAGGAGAGACTGAGAACTTTGTTTCTGTTTCTTTTTAAGGCACACATTGCCCACTTATTTTTTAATTTTAAGCATAATTATTTTCCCAAATTTTTTTAAATTGTACTTTAGATGAAGGTTTACAGAACAAATAGTTTCTCATTAAACATTACACATATTGTTTTATGACATTGGTTAACAACCCCATGACCTGTCAACACTCCCCCTCCTTGGTCTTGGAGGACCTTTTTTTTT